TTTTCCTCTTTTTTTTTGGTCTTTTGAGACAGGGTCTCCCTGTAGCCCCAGCTGTCCTGGAACTCACTATGTAGACCAGACTGGCCTTTGAACTCACAGAGATCCGTCTGCCTCTGCCTCCTGAGTGCTGGGATTAAAGGCGTGCACCACCATGCCTGGCTGTGGTAGCTTTAAAAAATAAATAAATAAAATAAAAAAATACACACGCACATTTATTTATTTTATGTGGAGTGTTTTGCCTGCATGTATGTCAGTGCTTGTAGTGTCCATGGAGGCCAGAAGAGAGTTAGAATCCTTGGATCTGTAGTTACAAATAGTTGTTAGCCACCATGTGAGTGTTGGGAACCCAACCCAGGTCCTCTGTGAGAAGAGTCAGAGCTCTTAACCACTGAGCCATTGCACTAACCCTGGCATTGGTTCTTTTAGTTATTTATTTATGTATTTTTTATTTGTCTTTTTTTGAGACAGGGTCTCCCTGTAGTCCCAGCTGACCTGAACTCACTATGTAGACCAGTCTGTAAAGGCATGCACCACCACGCCAGGCTAATATTTTATTTTTAGTGTATGTGTGTATTGCCTGCATGTAGGTAAGTGCACTCGTGTCCTGCAATGCTCGCGGAGGACAGAAGGGGGTGTCAGATCCCCTGAAACTAGAGTTATGGACAATTGTTAGCTGCCATGTGGGTACTGGGATTCAAACCGGGGTCTTCTGCAAGAACAACCAGTGTTCTTAACCGCTGAGCCATCTCTCCAGCCCCCTGGCATTGGTTCTTAAAAGGTATCTACTTCTCATGTTTGTGATGGTGCACACCTGTAATCCCAGCACTTGTAACACAGAGGCAGGCAGGATGATCAGGAGTTCAAGATCATCCTCGGCTACATAGAGAATTTGAAGTCAGCATGGGATACCTATGTGTCTCAAAAAAAAAAAAAAAAAAGACTTCTAGAATTATGATCTCAGAACTCAATGTCTGTTGGGTTTATACACTGTCCTTTTCAGTTTCTCCTCAGTCTCACTGCCATACATGGTGCCACATACCTATGATTCCAGCACTTAGGAAGCAGAGGTAGAGGACAGCTTCAAGTCTGAGGCAATCTGGATTACTTATTGATTTCTGGGCCACATAGGGCTACATAAGATCCTACCTCCAAAACACGAAAAGCAAGTGTTTCACTTCTTACCATCAGGTCGCATTTTGAATTCTCCCACTTCTACTTAATTTTATTCACTTTATTTCAAACTACCAAAAAGCATCCCTCCCCCCTTAAAACTTTACCTGCAATGTCAAATTCAAACATTATGGGAGTATTAAGAATAGGAACCTCACTCAAAACTCACCTGTTTGCTTCAAACATGGGAAAGGAACTCTGTAAGCTATGCCATGAGGACTACACTTGCAATTAGGGCCCTTGCGACCCCATAGAACAACTTTCTCCTTAGACACACTACAACCTAATTCAGTGGTTTCACCTGAGCATTTCACTTTTCCTTCCTGAGAGGCACTAGCAGCAATGGAAAGGGACAGAGGCACAAGGCCAACTTTTTAACATAAAACCTTCCTGGGTACCCTCAAGAAACAATAGGAAAAACTTATTTTTCTCCCATAGCATAAATCAGCAATACAATTGTTATTACTTGAATAATTCTCCCACAGTCAAAAAAAAAAAACATTTGATTATGATCCCAACCAGAAAAATTAACCCCAAATTGTCTTACCCTCTCTCTCTCTTCCTCCTGCCGTCTTATTCCTTCTCCTTTCCAGGGCTTCTGAACTTTCTGGAAACAAATTGTCTAGGTTACAGAGGCCAGTAAAGGTGAGGCCACAAAAGAACGGTGGAGAACTTCAGGAATTCTGACTGTCAGCAGCCAATCTGGAAAGCAGGCAGCTCCCCAACCCACAATTCAGAGACCGAAGGACAGAACAACAGGAGGTCAGTGCCACCCCCTATGTGGATATAAGGGAAATAGATCCAGTTCTCAGAAACTAGGCTGAACTCTATCACCAGTGTTTGGGTTCCACTCCTAGGCTCAGACACTGATCCTTCTTCATTCCCCAGGGGTACAGGTAAGTAGGAGTCGGGGAACAGAAGAGGAGGAAGGAGAGCCCCTGCTTCTGAGAAGTGGCTTTAGAAAGCAAAGCTGAGGGCACGGGGGTGGGGGGTATGCACAAGCCCTGTGTCAGGCACCGTGCCAAGTTCAGGCCCAGCCACTCACTTCCTCTAGCCTCGCCCCCTACTTCTGCGAAGACTTCGCCCCCGGCTACCCAAGGCCTGGGGGCCAAGAAGTACCTCCTTCAACCTTCAGCGGTCTATCTATTTGAGACCCCAGCTGTCTCCCCCAAACCTTCGCCCCCCTGAGACACCCAACTGGGAGCTTTCTCCCGATGTCAATTCCCACTCCTTCCTCAAAGACCTGTCTTTGGGACGTCCCTCCTTCACCCCTCCAGGGAGCTGAACTCTGCCAACCTGAAGACAGGCACCCGCCCCCTAAGCCCCCCCATTCCTCCCCATCGCCCGCTTCTCCACAACCACTTCCGGTTCCGGGACAGACACACTTACAGTCAGTCACACCGTGGACCCCCCCACATACTCCCCGCCCCCCCAAGGAAAAGGGGAGGGGGAGGAGCAGAGGGCTTGGCGCGCGCCTGCCGCACCGGCGCAGGACTCACCCAGCGGCGGCTGCGGCTGCACCCGAGCCCGCGCCGGAGCCAGCGCGGGAGGGGCGGCGTCCGCAGGGAAAGGAGGGAGCGGAGCGGGAAAGGAGGGCCCGGGGCAGCGCGGGCTGGGGGGGCAGCGCAAGGCGGGGCGCGGGCACGCGCTGCAGGCGCTAGACAGACCCCGGCATTCGCACGGGCTGCGTGCGAGACACCCGCAGGGCGGGGGCGCGAGGCGGTGGGTGGCTCCCCCCGCCCTCCCATAATACTCACCCGGAAGTGCTGCTGCTGCTCCGGGGAACCCCAATTCCTCCACACCCCCCTTCCTCCCGCCCCCTCCTCAGAAAGGAGTAGCTACGGGGAGAAGGCGGGAGCACCGGAAACGTAAATGGGGGGGAAGGGAGGGAAATAGCAGCGGAGGGGGGGGCGGCAATGAGGATAGGTGGGGGGAGTTCAAAGGCCGAGTCACTTCCGGGAGCTTGCCAGAACACATCCGGAGCTGCTGGCGCTCGGAGATACTCTGGGCAGAAATTACGACAAGTAAGGGCGGAAATGGCTTCTGCCCAGGTCCTGGAGACCCATCGGTGATGTGACGCCCAAGCGGAAGTGAAGGAAGGTTCTGTTACGGGTAGAAACAGTTTTCGTACAGTGCTCCCGGGTTTCCGGAAGGGACTTGGGGATAGTGGGGTGGAAACGCGACTGGGTCATGAATTATGCATCAAGGCACCAGAAACGGTATGGATCCTTAAGACTAGGGTTAAGGTTCATTTCTGAGTAGAATAGGCTGATGTATGGAGTTAGCCGTTTTCTAGTATTCCCAAGAATGTCTCATTGTTGCGCTGGGTGTAGTGATACACGCCTATAACCCCAGAATTTGGGAAGCTGAGGCAGAATTGCGAGTTCGATGCCAGCCAGGGATAAAAGTTTTAAAAAGTCTCATTGGGGACAGGAGAGATGGCTCAGTGGTTAGTAACACTGGTTGTTCTTGCAGAAGACCCGGGTTCGAATCCTGACATTCACATGGCAACTAACAATTGTCCGTGACTTCAGCTCCAGGGGATCCCGACAGCCTCTTTTGTTTTCCGCGAGCATTGCAAGACGTGGGTGCACCTACCTGCACACAGGCAATACACGCCATACACATAAAATAAAAATAAATTTTTTTTAAAGCTATTGTTTTGAATAGTCAAGCAAAGAGAAGAATGTAGTTGTTTGAGGTCCCTATTTAGACCCCCAAAGTAGCACCCATCGGGCTGAAGAGGTGGCTCAGCAGTTAAGTGCACTGGCTGCTCTTTCAGAGGAACCATGTTATGTTCCCAGCACTCACAGGGCAGCTAGCAACCATCTGTAACTCCAGTTCCAGGGGATCCTACACCCTCTGGCTTCCTTGGGTATTGCACAATATGGGTGCACTTAATATACATGCAAGCAAAACCACTCATACACATGAAAAATAAATTTTTTTTTGTCTTTTTTGAGATAGGGTCTCCCTGTAGCCCCAGCTGTCCTGGAACTCACTATGTAGACCAGGCTGGCCTTGAACTCACAAAGATCCACCTGCCTCTGCCTCCCAAGTGCTGGGATTAAAGGCATGCACCACCACGCCCAGCATGAAAAGTAAATTTAAAAAATGCAACCCATGGGACTGGAGAAATGTCTCAGTGGTCGACAGTACAGTATTGACTGCTCTTGCAGAGGATCTGGGCTTGATTCCCAGCACCCACATGGCAGCTAACAACTGTCTGCAACTCCAGTTCAGGGGATCCAGCTCCCTCTTCTGAACTCCACAGGCATTGTACATCATGACATCATGGGTTCACTTACATGCATCCAAGCAATACACTCATACACATTAAAAAAAAAAATGCAACCCATCTGACTGATCACATCCTTACTCTCTTTGCTTTGGTCATTTCTTTAATATTTTTTTATTTTTATTTATTTATTTATTTTGATCTTTTTGAGTCAGGGTCTCCCTGTAGCCCAGCTGTCCTGGAACTGACTATGTAGACCAGGCTGGCCTCGAACTCACAAAGATCCGCCTGCCTCTGCCTCCCAAGTGCTGGGATTACAGGCGTGTGCCACCATGCCCAGCCGTAATATTTTTATTTTATGTGTATGAGTGTTATGCCTATATGCATCACCTGCATGCAATGCCTGCAGAGGCCAGAAGAGGGTGCCAGATCTGGGCCTGGAGTTACAGACAGGTGTTAGCTGCCATGTGGGTGCTGAGAATTGAACCTGGGTCCACTAGGAGAGCAGTCAGTGCTCTTAACCTCTGAGCCATCTCTCCAGACCATATACATATACATATACATATGCATATACATATATATGAATATTTATATATGTGTTATGTTTTTTAAAAGTCTTTGAGACAGGATCTCACGTAGTCAAGGCTGGACTTGAACTCTTGATCCACCCGCCTCCACCTCCCAAGTGCTGGGATTAAAGGCAAGTGCTACCACACCCAGCTACACTGTATCTTTTAATGTTATTTTTAACTACTATGTGACTCCCCAGTAAGAGCATCAGCTTCCCAGAAAGAAACTATTCACATTAGATACTACAAGAATATATGTGTTAGAATCCCAATACTTGGGAAGCAGAGGAGGGCAGATCTTTCCGTTTGAGGCCAGCCTGGTCTACATAGTGAGTTCTAGGTCAGCCAGGACTAGTGAGACCCTGTCTCAAAAAAGAAAAAAAAAAATGTGTGTGTGTGTGTGTGTGTGTGTGAGAGAGAGAGAGAGAGAGAGAGAGAGAGAGATCACAAATGCTGCCCTTACAGAGGGGATCAGCTACACCTTATAGCCTATTTGTACCTTCCCTAAGCTGCTAAACTCAGCATGTAACAGCCCCAAGGTAGAGTAAGACAACAGGATTAACTTCCTAAATTACTGTCTTATAACCTGTCTGCTTCCTTCACTAATCTGCTAAACTCAGAGACACCTCCCAAAATTCAGAACCCCTTCTCTCTAAAGTCTGTAAATGTAGGGCTTTCCTTTATACTGCAGGCTCCTTGTTGGATCTCCTATGCCAGCTTCTCCTGCTGGGAGTGGCCAGTGTTACTAAAGGACCTGATTACCTGAAATCCATCTCAATGCATCTCTGCCAAACCTGGAAAGAATCTTTAATATTTAAAACAATATTGATCTGGCCACAATCTCTCTGGACTCAGGTCTGTTTTGGCTAATGCAGAATTGAGGTTCCTTAGTGAGAAAGCAAAATTACTTCAACAAATAACTATAATCTTATTCTATAGATAATGAAAATAACACTGGCTGTTTAAGTGACCCCCCCCCGGCAATGTCACAGCCACAAATAGCAAAAGATACCTTTATATATTTATTTACTTTTAAAAAATATTTTATTTTTATTGTACGTGTATGTATGTATTGCTTACATGTAGGTAGGTGCACTCCTGTCTTGAAATATTTACTTTTGAGACAAGGTCTCAAGTATCCAAAGCTGACAATACTCCTGAACCTCCTGCCTCTGCCTCCTGAGTGTTGGGATTACAGGTGTGCACCATTGCCACACTCAGATTATGTTGGGCCATGTTCCTGGCTCCGTGTATGTTACTCAAGCAGTTTACCAACTGAACTACATTCTCTGGATAACTTTAACATTTACATGTATTTTAACTATTAGTTTTTATTTTTGTATGTATGAGTATTTTGCCTAGATAAATGTAAGTGAACCCATGCATGCAGTGCCCTCAGAGGTCAGAAGAGGGTGTCAGATTCCCTGGACCTGGAGTCATAGATGGTTATTAGCACCCATGTGGGTGCTGGAAAGCAAACCTGGGTCCTCTGCAAAAGCAGCCTAGTGCTCTTAACCAATGAGCCATCTCTCCCAGCCCCATGTATGAGTGTTTTGCCTGCATGTATTTAAGTACACCCATGTCAGGCAATACCCACAGAGGCCAGAAGAGGGAAACAGATTCCCTGGAACTGGAGTTAGAGTTGGTTGTTAGTGTTGGGAACAGAACCAGAGTCTTCTGCAAGAGCAGTCAGTGCTCTTAATTGCTGAGCCATCTATCTAGCCCCCATTGTTTGTTTATTTTTATTTTCTTGAGACAATGTCTCATGTAGCCAAGGTTAGCCTCAAATTTGCTACGCAGTGGCAGTGAGAATGACCTTGAAATTTTGATCCTCCTGTCTGTCTCCCAAGGATGACCTTAAATCCTTATCCTCTGTCATCCCAAATATTAAGATTACAAGTGTCAGTCACCCTGCCCAGCAATAGTTTTTTATTTTATTATTTTTATTTTATGTGTATGTGTGTATTGCCTGCATGTAGGTAAGTGCACCTGTGTCGTGCAATGCCAGTGGAGGTCAGAAGAGGCTGTCAGATCCCCTGGAACTGGAGTTACAGATGGTTGTTAGCCACCATGTGGGTTCTGGGATTTGAACCTGGGTCTTCTGCAAGAACAACCAGTGTTCTTAACAGCTGAGCCATCTCTCCAGCACCCCAGCAATATTTTTTAAATTAAATGTTTAAAATCAATGATATGCATCTGTGGTTTATAATCACAAATTTCTTTCTTTTCTTTTTTTTAAAGCCAGGGTCTCACTACGCAGACCAGACTGGCCTTGAACTCACAGAAATCTGCCTCCTGAGTGCTGGGATTAACCTTGTTTACTTCAGAGTCTCAAGAAGCCCAGGCTGACCATAAACTTGCTATGTAATCAAGGATGGCTTTGAACTTTTGAGCTTCCTGCCTCTGTCTCCCCCATGAGTGTTAGATTACAGACTGAGCCATCACACCTTGTGTGTGTGTGTGTGTGTGTGTGTGTGTGTGTATTGACCAAAGGTAAATAACAAGTGTCTTCCTCAATAGCTGTTCTTTAAAAAAAAAAGGGTCTCACACTGATCCTGAAAGTTCACTGATTCAGCTAGTCTGGCCATCACCCTCCAAGGATTCTCCTGTTTCTGCCTCCCAAGTGCTGGGATCACAGATGGGAGCCATCACAACCAGTGTTTTTACATGTGTGCTGGGGATCCAACTCAGATCATTATAGTTATTCGGAGAGCGCTTTGCAGTCTCCCCAGCACTGTTTCCCACCTGCCCCCTTGGTGTTTTGAGATAAGAGCTCACAAAGCACAGGCTTGCCTCAAGCTCACTAAGGCAGCCAAGATGGCCCTGAACACCTGATCCTCCTGTCTCTGTCATTTAACTAGGATTATAGGCATGAGCCTCCATGTGACTCTTCCTTTTTATCACATTCTTGGGCCCAGCATTCAGTTTATGTTGATTTGAGTGACGAAAATTAACAGGAGGAAGGGTTTAAGGGGCCCAGTAATCATACACCTGTAATACCAGAATTCAAGAGGCTGGGCAAGAGGATTAAGAGTTCTAGGTGGGCCAGCCTGGGCTACATAAAGAGCCCCTGTCTCCAAAGAGAAGGAAGGAGAAAGGGAAGGAAGAGAAAGAAGAGGAAGAAAAATAGTACCAATCATTGGGAGGCCTGTGTATGGTAACTGACCTCTTCCTGAGCCTCAGTGCCTGTCAGCCCTCACCTTAGCTATTGGCAGCAAGTTTTAAGGCCTTAGAGCAAAGCTTTTGAGCAATAAATGGGCACAGCAGGGAGGAGGGCTGTTAATTTTAGCCTGGGATTCTCCAGCTGAGCTGGCACAATTGCCCATCTTGAATCACTTCGGCACCCTAAGCTCTACTAGGAGCTCCCTCCTCCTGGGGGCTTCCCCATTTCCTCATTTGGTGTGAGCCATATTGGTAAGCATTCCAGACACATGCCTTGGACAAGAACCTTGGCTGACTCATTTGATACCTCAACAAAGAAAATCTAGTGATAGGAGATGCTGTTCCCGTCATGCCTGTGAGGTGTGGCCTGCAAGAGTCTTTAGAGTCTCAAAAAGAGCAGCTTGGCCATTGTTTTCTTTTCCCATGATTCTATGATCTGCAGCATTCTGGGGATCAGAGACCTCCCACAGTCTTGGTTTCAAGTTTAAGAGAGAAAAGTTAGAGTCTGTTCCCCAGAGCCCCATGCCCTTTCATGGTTAGCACAGCACTGGGATGTAGTCTAGCATAAGTCCCCTAGGCCATCCAAGTCTAGGGTTGGATTCTTTCTCCTTTTTCTAGCCATCTGCCTTCCCATGGGGAAGAGGGCATTTAGGGAGAAGGAACAGGTGAGGATTTCCAGTGCCTTGCTGGTGTATTCTAATTTATTTAAATGTAGGGAAGCAGCAGTCTAATCAGGCAGCAATTAATTCCTTCTTCATTAGGGGCCTTCATGTGTGCTTTTTTGCATATGGATGAGCCACAGGGTCACAATGTCCCTCTAAAATAAAAAGACTGCTGAAGGTGAGAGCCTGGGGAGCGCTGCAGGCACTCCCTTCTTGCCCTTCTGTATCAGAGCTCCTCTCTGCTCCTCTGGCAAGGACTTCAGTCCTGTGGGGAAAGCTGCAAAGGTTAAGGAAGCTTCTCACCTCCCCGGAACCTTTCCCTACTACAGCCCATCAGCATTTCGGTCGCACCTTCAGGTTCCACCCGGCCCTGGCCCTTTCCCTTAAATCCACTGCCCCTGAGATCTTCGGGGTCCCTCCGCATCCAAGTACCCTTCCTCAGAAGGCTTGTTCAACTTGCACCCCTGCTGGTTGTTTCATGACTCCATGGCCTGCTATAGCTTCTTTCCTCTGGAGCAGTCTGTCCTAAACCCTGCTGTAGTCCTGGGAAACAGAGTTCCCATACTCTTCATTACCTGCTGCAGGGGCTCCGCCACACCTCCCTCCCTGGATACACAGTGCGGCTCCCCAGCACCTGAGGTACATGTACCAACACATATACATTCCTATTTATAGCATCAAAGATAAACATGTGGAAGCAGGCACAGTCCCAGCAGCCCACACTGCCCTCTTGCCTACTATATTGTCTCCTACCTCCCTGGGGCTACTCCATTTCCAGGGAGCAGGTAGGGTATAGATTGGGTGTGAGAATGGGACCTAGGTGGTTACCATAGCAACATAGCCTAGCAACAGCTGAGAAACTGATGTGTGGGCTTTCCTAGGGCTGTTACAAGAGCCAAACCTAGAACTGGGGCCTCAAAGGTGATTGATCCCAGTTGGGCAGCCTGTGTTCCCTCCTCCAGACACACCCCTTGATTCCACCCCCACACCCCCCAGCAATGCCTTTCTCAGAGAGAGCAAGATGGAGAAAGCTAATGAGCTAACCATAGGGCTTCTGGTGCAGCACAGCTTTTGGCCAGCAGCTGTGCTGGGGGCACGTTTGGGAGCAAGGATGAAAACAACCAAGCGGATCAGTCTCTCTCATCCCTTTTCTTCTGCTCCATCTTTCTCTTCTTTCACCCTTTATCCTGGATCTGCCTTATCTCTCTCACCAGGTGTAGGGACTTGCCACCTGTAATCCCAGGACTCAGGAGGCTGAGGCAAGAGGATTGAGGGTTGGCATGAATCTGAGGCTAGCCTGAGCTACAGAGAGAGAGATTCTTGTCTCAAATAATCTCTTCCTTTTCTGGCCTGTGCCATTGCCTGTCCTAAGACATTTTCCCCCTTCCTCTCTTCTCTTGGTCTCTCTTAAGAAACATGCAAGCCAGGGCTGGAGAGATGGCTCAGTGGTTAAGAGCACTGGTTCTTGCAGAAGACCCAGGTTCGAATCCCAACACCCACATGGCAGCTAACAACTGCCGTAACGGTCTGTACCTCCAGTTCCAGGGGATCTGACAGCCTCTTCTGACCTCTGCAGGTGTTGCCTGACACGGTTGCACTTACCTACCTGCAGGCAATACACACATACACATAAAAAATTTTTTTCAAAAAAAGGAACAAGCAAGCCACATTTAGGAGTCCAATTCCTCTCCTACAGAGTTGTTCACTTTCCTTCCATTCCTCCTTCCATTTTGTCCCCCCAAGTTAATGCACCCATCAGCCAGATGGGGTAGGCCAGGTGACATCTAGTCTGGAGAAGTCCCCACCTCACTGCCCTTTCCCTTCCTCCCTTCTGGCCATCCTCCTCTCCTGGGAATGCCAGGGGGTGGTGGTGGGGTGGGGTGGTGGTGTCATAAGGCAAAACCAGGGGACTCAAGTATCTTGCAAAGGCTTTATTTGAAAATTTTTAAACTTACATCCCACAAGATTTCAAGATTATCACCACAAGAAGAAGAAAGAGATAATACAAAAATATATATCACAGCATAGGAGCCAGGTACAAGGGGAGGGACCTCAGGAGAGGAAAAGGGAGGCAGGAGGAGGAAGGAGGGAGGAAAGGGCACATGAGGGAACCTGGGAAAAGCAGGGTGGATATGGAGGCAGAGCTCCCGATGGCCTTGAACCAGCTAGCTCCAGTCCCTGGCAGCCTAGATACAATTAGGGAGGCCTTAGGGGAGGCTGGGAAGTGGAGGACCGCTCAGGGCGCTCTGAATTCCAGAGAGGACACACACATAGACATCCAGGACAGACAAGACAAAAGGGACTTAAGAGGGAAGGGAGGACATGGGAGTTCCTTTCTCATGTAGTGCAGCAGGTGACTCCCCAAAACCCACAGACAACAGAATTTAGCAATGTGGCCTCACTACCTCCATTCCCGTGGGGGAGCCCTCAGGGTAACGCCAGGGCCCTTGAAGTGAGATGTGTGACACATCGGACATGGACTGAAATGGGGCTGTGACAGATGGCATGAGAATCCCCTCCTTCACCTCCCACCCACCTCTAGGGCAGCATGCAGGGGCCACAGAAACTAGAGCAGTGGGTGTTCATGAAGAGTGAGCACACCATGCCATGTGGGGCCAGAAATGCATGTGAGAGGTGAAGTGTTCATGAAACAAGGGCCCCCAATCTGAGGCAGGCATGGAGTGTGCAGGAGGAGGCAGAAAATGTGCAACAGGAGGAAGAGTGCTAGTCACTAGCTGAGCAGACAGACATGGATGGGGACAGGGTGCAGAAGAGCAGCACAAAGGGCACTGAGTGTGCTACGGCCTGTGACGGGAGGTGAATGTGCAAGGCTTTCATGTGAGTGTGCAAAGATGGGGATGGGGGAACCCGGAGTCACAAGTGTAGGAAGCCCCCAACCACAGGAGGGCAAGCAGGTGGTCTTGCCCATGGGGCTAGTGAGTGTTCAGGGTGGTGTGCAAGGGCTGGAGCTGGGAGCCCCCCCCCATAGCCCCAGTTCCCCACATAGCTGAGCAGACAGACATGGATGGGGACAGGGTGCAGAAGAGCAGCACAAAGGGCACTGAGTGTGCTACGGCCTGTGACGGGAGGTGAATGTGCAAGGCTTTCATGTGAGTGTGCAAAGATGGGGATGGGGGAACCCGGAGTCACAAGTGTAGGAAGCCCCCAACCACAGGAGGGCAAGCAGGTGGTCTTGCCCATGGGGCTAGTGAGTGTTCAGGGTGGTGTGCAAGGGCTGGAGCTGGGAGCCCCCCCCATAGCCCCAGTTCCCCACAGTTGCCCCATCCTCAGTGGATGGTGGCTATGCTGGCCCCTTGGCCTCCTGCTTGACAGCACCCCAACATGGGGGGCATCACAGATTCACCAGGGGAATCCTGAGAGGAAGAGGGAAAGGGCATAGTCAGGAACCAACAGGTAGGCTGAAGCTGAAGGAGAAGTTCAAGACAAAGAAAGGTACTCAGAGTTAAAGGGGCAGAGCTGGAATTAGAGGGCAACTGGAGAATTAGGATATAGAGCCTAAGGGGGAGAAGGAGCTGGTCAGCCCACTTGGGAGCTCCTGGGACCAGGCCAGGGAGGAGAGCCAAGGACTGTGGGTGAGCAGGCCACCCTCCCAGGAAAGACCCACCCTAACCCTGGACACCTAAGTTGCCTTCCCACCTCACCCTCCCATCCCATTGGCCCCGGCCCCTCACCGGTTCAACTGGAAGGCTGGAGCCCCCTTAGGCTGGGACATCCCAGGCCGGGGTCCCCCTCGGGGCTCCTCATGGTCAGGGGTGGGGGTAGGCGAGTCCCCGAAGGCCCCCAGCACAGTGACTCCAGCAGGGGACAGGTCTGTCAGTGGCTGCTGGCTCTCCTCCTGCCTTAGGGTGCCTTGCTGCCCTGAGGGCCTGCGCCGCTTCTGGCTGCGGTCCCAGCTGGCACACCAGAAGGAAAGAGGTGCTCTCGCACACTGAGTATCCCCTATCTTGGACCAGCAGCATTGGTCACCCTCCTGGACACCTCCAACTTCTCCACAACTCCTGAGACCATGAGCTGATCAAACCTATCTCCCTACTTCCCTCTAAACCACACTTGGGAGAGTCACAAGATTCATGACTCCTCCCCGCCCACACAGAGACCTTGAAAACTGCCCCCTACTCTGCTGACACTCAGAAGAACCCGTTCTCTCCTCTGCAGGCACCTGACAGATATGTAGTTCTAGTTCAAAGTCAGCTAATGACTGGGACACCTGAGTCTAATGATGCTCTCAGTAAAGTGTGAAGGACTTTGTGACCCACTATTAAATGTGTGCAAAGAAAGCTCCAGATATTCTTCCTTTTGGCCAGAAGCCCTAAGAAAGGCCTTGGCAGCTTGTGTCAGCTTTCTCCATCTTGGAGGGCTGCCCACCCAAGTCCCCAGTATAGATAAATAATTCCCTTCCCTCCCGCTAGCCTTGTATCTTTCTGGGAGAATCCGCACTGACTTCTCACTGATTTCTCCTCCACTTGAATCACCTTCTCTAGCTTAACTTGCTCGTCATCCATGGTTTCCTACTCTAACGCAGCAAATACGCTGTCCTTGATCTTGCCCTGATCCGGCTTTCCTTTCCAAACATTCATTCCTAATCATCCAGACATGTCCTCCCCACACCTCACCCTCTACTTACCAGAACTTAAAGATGATGCCAGTAGCCACGAGTACAATGATGATGGAAATGGTGATTGTAACGTAAAGCTGAGGGTCCACACCTGACAGGGAGGGAGAAAGATGTCAGGAGGCCTGAGGCAGCCTCCATGTGGGGTGTGGCTGAGTATTGCCATGCCAATCCACACTGCCTGTCCCCTTCAACATCTCTGGAGTTTCCTTTATTCTTTTCAAAAACACTTTTTTAACATTTTATTTATTTTTATTTTATGTGTATGAGTTTATTGTGTAAGTACATCTGTGTTATGCAATGCCTGTAGGGGACAGAAGAGGGTGTCAGATCCCTTGGAACTGGAGTTATGGACAGTTGTTAGCTGCTATGTGGGTGCTGGGATTCAAACCCGGGTCTTCTGCAAGAACAGCCAGTGTTCTTAACCGCTGAGCCATCTCTCTCCAGCCCCCTCAAAAATACTTTTTAGCCGGGTGTGGTGGCGCATGCCTTAGTCCCAGCACTCCAGAGCCAGAAGCAGGCAATCTCTGGGAGTTTGAGGCCAGCCTGTACTACATAGTGACTTCCAGGCTAGCTGGGGCTACAGGGAGACTCTGTTTCAAAAAAGACTTAAATTTTTTTTTTTTACATTTATAGTGTATATGTGTGTGCATGCATGCATGAATGCATGGGCATGCATATGCCATGGTTCATGTGTGGAAGTTCAGAGGACAACTTGCTGCAGTCATTTTTCTCCTTCCACCATGTGGGTTTCTAGGATTGAATGCAGACTGGCAGGGCAAGCAGCAAGTTCCCTTACTGGTGGTGCCCTTACTGGTGGTAGAACCATCTTGCCAGCCCTCCATATTTTTTTTTAGACAGGTCTCACTGTGTAGCCCCAGCTGGCCCAGAACTTGCTATGTAGACCAGGCTGGCCTCAAACTCACAAAGCCTGCCTCGAACTCACAAAAGATCTGCCTGCCTCTGCCTCCTGAGTGCTGGGATTAAAGTCATGCACCACCATGCCCAGCTCTCTCTTTATTCACATCACCACCTTTCTCCTGAGTTTGCAGTCTTCCACTTTCCCAAACATTACATGTACCAAATCTTACATGTACACAAGATGAGGACAAGGCTCCAAGGTCAGAGAGAATTATCCCCCTGCATTGGAATAGGGGTGGTAGTGTCCGAATACTTACACTGGCCCAACCCTAAACCACTGCCCTTATCTCTACATCAGCACTCTCTGAGCTAAGACATTGCCTGGTAGTTTCTTTCCTCCATGCATGCATCGCTGTGCCTGGAATGCTCCCCTTCCATTTTCAAGGTCCAGTTCACATGTCCATTATCTGAGCTGTCTTAATCCCCAGGCAAAAGTAGTCCCCCACATCTTTATTTTCCTAAAAACAGGCTGTTTTCAGGTCTATTAGAGCATCTATTATGTTGACTCATACCAGAGAGTTTACACATCTATCTTCTCATTGGACCTCAGCTCCTCAAGGGCTCAGACGGCATCTCTATCTCTGTATCCTTGCCAGCCTACAGCCTGACACATTTGCTGAAAACACTCACAGATAAGGCCTACAATTTCTGCTGCTCAAGGTCTTTAATCAGCAATTGTCCACCCTCCACATCCCTGCCAGCTTTGCCTACTCACCTTCTCCACGCCCCCCAAACAGGAAGGGCCTCAGGGTAGCAGGTGTTTCTCCAAGGATGAGCCCATCTCCATCATCATGCATGGAGTCTGAGTTGGGATGCGGAGTAGCCAGCCCATGCGGGGCTGCAAAACCATAGTCCAGGGGCAGAAATCCAGGATTGACAGAGTTGGGGTCCCCTCCATCCTCCCGAGACACTGTGGGACCCCACACAATAGCCCAGGGATACTGAGATGAGGGTGGCCCTTCCTCAAAACCTGATGGGGTGGCAGGGGGTGCAGTGCCTGGCAGAACTTGCCGACGTGATCTTGGGACCCGTGGGGATCGGCTAGGTGGAGGTGCCCGCTCCCACACACACACGTGGCGTGGGGCTGAGGGACCACCCCTGACACATGGGGGACGGGCTGGGGCTGGTGGGGACCGAGGGGAGGAGGAGCCCTGAGCAGATGGTGGGATGGGGAGCAACAGCAATGGCCAGAGAGGGAGGAGTTGGGACAGCAGTAGAGCAGGCCTGCAAAAAGGGGAAAAAAAGCAGATGAGATCCAGGCCATGATGGACCTATGTGTGGGAAGGGTAAGCTCACACAAGAAATCTCGGGTGCCTCCCTCCAAATTTCTCTGCAAGGCCAGGTGAGTTTTGGGATTCATTTCTTTTCTTCCTTGGGGGTCAACCCTCAGGATGGGAGGCCCTAGGCAAATAAAGGACAAATTCCCCAGGGAAAATGGTCTCCAAGCTCCCCCTGCTGGGCCAAACTTACCACATCCTGCACTCTGTATCTGAGGTCTTCCTCAGCTGTGACCCAGATTTTCAGCCTTTACTGGAGGAAAAATGGGGGCGTCACATCCCAACCTGTCCTGTGTATTTCCCCAGCTCATTCATCCACCAGTTCTGCTCCTACCTCCCCTCCCAGGCTGCACAGTTGCCAGCCATGGTGCTGCCTCCCAGCATCCATTGCTTCTCAACATCCTTTTAAGGAAAAACTCCCTAAACTAGCCCCCAACCCCACCTACAGCATCTCAGGTGGGTCTGTTACCTCTCAGCCCCAGTGTCTGTCTACTCTTGCCTCTCTGGCTTCCTTCCTTCTCACTTCCTCTGCCCACAGCTCCAGGCTTCTTGTATCTTAATTTAGAGCCAAGAACCTTGTGATTCCTTGAGCACCTACCACTAGGGAGGGAGCATGAGGGTGGGGGAGGGAAAGGGAAGTCAATCTTAGTGAGTGTTGGGGGGGAGGCTAGAACCCCCCCCATCTTGTAATCCCAGGTACTTCTTTTGTATGAAGCCCAGGAGCTGCCTCTTCTGAAGAATGGGAGAAAGACATGGAGGGTGGGGGTAAGTGGGAGAAAAACTAATGTTTAATCATGCAAATGCATAGGTGCCCTCTGAAAGGAGCTCGGAAGGCACCACCCCCTCAAATGTGGCTCTCCTGGGTAAAGTCCTGGAAGAGGCTAGATGGTTGGTTTTGAAAGAGATGCGGGTATTCTCAGAGCTGAGGGTGGTGAATCTCAGAGGGGGCTAGGCTCCCCAGAGAAAGTGAGAATGACACACTGAGTCCTCAGGATTCCTAGTCTGTATCTGCACTTGAACACTCCCAGGGGATAGCAACAGAATAAGATGGGGAAGGGAGTGAGGAAGTGGGCAACAGGGAGACATGCAGAAGGTGTGAAGGACTTGGAGAGAGAAGGTTGATCAAGAGTGAGAAGAGAGGAAGAAGACACGGACGAGCACTCTCCAGAGTGCAGGGGGAAGGAGAGCCGGCAGCTGGGAAAGGGAAGAGAGGGGGGTTATAGAAGACAAGAATTAGGATGCTGAAGGAAGAAGGGGTCAGGGAGGGGAAAGAGGCAAACGGCAGGAGGATGGAGAGGTCTGGTCAGGACAGTCAAAAGTGAAGAGAGTAGAAGGGGAAAGGCTGGAAAAGACCAGAGATGGAGAGAAAGAACTGAGATAGGAAAGAACAGGTTATTGAAGGCAAAATGGAAAGAGGAAGGGATGCAGACAGAAGGAAAAGGGGGGACAGCAAAGATGGAGGAGTTAGGAAATGTTTCTTGAAATTTAAAGGGATGTGGAGCCTCGGCTGGAGGCGAGGTGAAGAAACGTTAAAGGAAAGAGAGGCTGGGGGCTTGGTGCGGAGGAGGCTAGAAAGAGGAGAAATGGTAGCTGAACCGGTGGAGCGGATAAGGACTCAGAGACATAGTGGCCAGCTGACTCCAGGACCCACCTGCTCCTCGGTCCACCACCACCAGCGTCAACTTCAGCCCCCTTCATCCTGCACCTCTTCAGTCACCCCCCCCCCCAGAAGCCCGCAGTCCCCAGGCTGGCGCACCACCCCAACCCCCTCCGCGCTCCTCACCGACCTGTTGTGCGCAGGAGACGAGCTGGGGGTGGGGCGGGAGCCTCGGGGTGGTGGAACCAGGCCCCAACCCCAGCGGAGCCCCCAATCCTGCCTATCCCATAGGCCCACGCTCGCTGGACAGGACTGGAAAGCTGCGCGAATGGGCAGGACGAGGAAAGGGTCGGCGGCGGGACTCGAAGGGAGGGAGCTCCCAGAGCGGGAAGGGGACCTGAGGCAGGAGGATGCCCGCAGCTGCAGGATGAGCTGAAGGCGGGATGGAGGCAACCGCGGAGACGTAGGCTGCTGCACCAGCAGGGCAGGATGGAGTCGGGACGACGGAGGAATGGAGGGCACGGAGGAGAGGAGCTCTAGGCAGCTGGAGCCGGGCGAAGGACCTTGCCGGGAGGGGCGGGAGGCGAAGGGCGCGGAGCTGGAGCTGGAATGGGCAGGGCCGGCTCCCTCCGGGTGGGGGCGTGGGGGGTCCCCCTCGCTCACCTGCATCCCTGGGGCGGAGGCGCGACGACTGCGGGCGCTCGGAGCTGCACGGGATTGGGGGGTTGCAGAAGCGGGTGGGGCGCCGGGCATGGTCGAGAGGTTTGGCTGGCAGCAAGGCGCTGGAGCCGGAGAGGGGCGGGCGCCCAGGGCCCGGGGCGGCGGCGGCGGCGGCGGCGGCGGTGGCAGCAGCTCGGGCTTGGCGCCTCCCACCTCCTCGTCCGGCTGCCTCAGCACGCCTGGACGTCACACTACCGCGACCTCCAGGAGCCCCAACCCCGCCTCCACCTCGTTCACTGCTCTGGGCTCGGCTCGGCTGGGCTCGGCTCAGCTCGGCTCAGCTCAACTCCGGCGGCGCTCGGCTCGGCTGTGTTCGGCGCGTTTGGGATATCTGGGTCTCCGCCTCCCCTCCTCCCTCCGGTAGGCTATGCGTGGTTTAACCCTCCTACTGCCGCACTGAGAGCCCAGGTCGGTCCCAGGTCTCGAGGTTGTAGAGGGCAGCAGCGATGCGGACCCGTGACCTCCAGTCCTTAGGGTGTGATGGTAGGGTCCCCCAGCACTCTGCTAGCACAACCCTGTAGATATCCACGATTGCCCCCAAGCATCTCTGAGATTCTGAGTCATCCAGTACACTTGATTCCCCAACTCTAGTCCTGATCAGAGAGGGACGGGAGTTCAAGACCGTGTGAGAGGACCGGGGAGTGATGGAGAAGACCCCATAGAGTGCCGCAACTGCTTAACCCCCAATTTCACTCTGGCCCTGTTACATTGCACTCCCCCTGAAGCAACCCAGTCAGTCCTTAAATGGATCGAGTCCCAACTACTGCACTTGGCTTTCCCAGGAATCAGGTTATCCAAACTACTTTCTGTGGTTTACAGGGAGTCGCTACAAGAACTAGTCTCTGTTTTTCTTTCCTAATGATTTCTGTGTCTCAGCCACAATGTGACTGATGTATGTTCCTATAAGGAGGCAAGCTGAACCTGCCTCAAGGCTTTGCGCCTGCTGTTCCCCCTGGAAGCTTTCCCTCACTTTTCACAATGGCTTACCCTTTTCAAAGTCTTCTGAGAGGTCTTCTTTAATCTCTCAGAACTCCTGATCTGGGCCAGGGTGATGGCTCCACTGGATAGATGCTTACCATCGAGCCTGACTACCTGAGTTCTGTCCCCAGAACCCACACGGTGAAGCAGACAACTGTCTCTATGAATTGTCCTCTGACCCCCACATGAGCATCATGGCAAGCGTGTGCTACACACACACACACACACACACACACACACACACAATAAGTGTAATTTGGGTTTTTTTTTTTGTTGTTCTTTTTTTTTTTTTAGTGACAAAGTATTTAAAGCAACATAGCACGCTATTGAATGATATCATTTGTTTTTTTAATTATTTATTTAATAACCACATACTTAGAAGAAGCATTTCATTACATCAGCATTGACATATTCAATAACAGTTTTCTGAGCTAGGCTGCATCTCTTACAAACTTGGCTGTACATTTTTAGGTTTACAGTTGAATTATTACAGTTATAGAATATTGGACTCAGTATAAACCCTATAACACATAAAATTAAATAAAGTTTTAACTTTTAAAAAGATCTCCACTTCATTATTAAAATACAGTTTCATGCAGAAAACTTCATTTTTAATGCAGTTGACAATGTTTGCACATGTGTTTCTAATCTTTATATATCAGATCTGTTGTTTTTAAAAATATTTTATTACTTTTATGTATATGAATGTATTGCCTGAATGTATGTAAGTGTACCTGTGTCATGCAATGCCTATGGAGGTCAGAAGAAGGCATCAGATCCCCTGGAACTGGAGTTTTGGACAGTTATTAACTGCCATGTGGGTGCTGAGAACTGAACCTGGGTCCTCTACAAGAGCAGCCAGTGCTCTTAACTCCTGAGCCATCTCTCCAGGCCCCTCTCACCTTTGTGTGTGTGTGTGTGTGTGTGTGTGTGTGTGTGTGTGTGTGTGTGTGTCTTTTTTGAGACAGGGTCTCCCTGTAGCCTCAGGTGACCTGGAACTCTCTACGTAGACCAGGCTGGCCTAGAACTCAGAGATCCACCTGCCTCTGCCTCCTAAGTGCTGGAATTAAAGGCATGCACTACCATGCCTGGCTCAGGCTCCCCCTTTTAAAACAAAACAACAACAGCAAAAAATCCCCAGAAACCTCCCGTGACCCTCCTTCTGCCAACTCATACCCCATCCTCCTCCCCCACATTGCCTTGCTTTTTCCCTTTAACGTCTAAGAAACCACACTCTCCTAGTTTCCCTCTGACCTCCTGACTGCTCTTTCTTCCTCTTCCTCAGCTCTGACCTCCAAGTGTTAGAGCCTCCTAGAGTTTAGTCCTTGGCTGCCTTCTCTTTCCACATTCTCTGTCCAGTGATCTCATCCAGTCCCACGGTTTAAATACTACGTAAATGTCAATGAGTCCTAAATTTATTTCCAGAGCACCAGACTCATTTATCCAATAGCCTACTTGACATCTCTGCTTGGATGTCTAATAGCCATGCAAAGCTAACCTAACCAAAGTAAATGTCTTGACCTACCCCAACCCCAGTCCATTTCTGTTCCATGCTCTCCATCCTAGGACATGACAGTTCATAGTTGTTAGGCTAAAAATCCAGGATGATTTCCTTTCTGGTTTCTTCTCTGTATCTGATTCACCAGCAACTGCTATAATCCCTGCCTACAACACATGTTGTCAATCCACCCCCTTTTCTTCATCTTTATTTTTATATATATTTCATTTATTTATTTTTATTACTTTTTGTGTATGAGTGTATTGCCTGCATGTGCATCCATGTTGTGCAATGCCTGCAGAGGTCAGGAGAGGGCATTGGATCCCCTGAAACTGGAGTTACATACATATGGTTGTTAGCCACCATGTGGGTGCTAGGATTTGAACCTGGGTCCTCTGCAAGAGGAGCAAGTGCTCTTAACTGCTGAGCCATCTCTTCAGCCTCTCTTCATCTTTACTGTTAAAGTTCTGATCCAAGCTATCATCTCTCTTCTGAAATCATGGCCGTTTCCTAGGTGCTCCTACACCCATCCTTACCCTTTACAAACTGCTCTTTACAGTTACCAATAGTATTTTAAAATCTGGAGAGATGGCTCAGTGGTTAGTTATGGCCATCAGAGGGACAGCCACAGGACCTGAATAGATTATCATGGAACGAAGTAAATAACCAGGGGACCTGAGTGGTTTCTTCACATACGAGTATCAGGAGCACCAGCACCTCTGCTTTTAGTCTCATGACATGAGAACTACAGTCACACGTCTACAGAACTGAGCAACAATAAAATGACTTCTCATACCCATGAGACCCACAGTCAAATCTTTACAGAACACTGAATAATAATAATATGGCTAGAATATAACAATTCAGCAAAATAAGACGAGCACAGCAACTTTATCTCAATGCTGTGTCTACTTAGGAGATCAATGTGTTTCATGAGAAATAAGAAGGGAGCACTGGCCTTCCAGAGATATCTCCCAGCAAGCATTCTTTTATAAACTTTCTTACGAGACACAAGGCTTTCCAGACATACATGCTCAAAGTCCAGCTTAATTCACCAAGCATGTTTTTAAAGCCATAAGAACACTATTTCACAGTCCCTTCAGTTAGCAGCACTGGCTACTCTTGCAGAGGACCCAGGTTCGAATCCCAGTACCCACATGGTGGCTAACAACTGTCTGAAACTCCAGTTCTAGGGGATCCAGTGCCCTCTTCTGACCTCCACAGGCATTGCAGGCACAAGTGCATGCAAAACATTCATACACATAAAAGCAAAGATACTAATGTTTTGAAGATTTAAAAAATCTAAACTATGTCATGTTCTTCCCTTTTAAAATATTCAAGGGCTGGTGAAATGGCTCATCAAATAATCAAGTCTGACAACTGGAGTTTGATCCCCACAGGGTAGAAAGGAGAGAACTGACTCCTGCAAAGTTGTCCTCTGATTTCTACATGTGTATGTGCATCCACGCATACACACATACGGAGTAACTAAATAAAATGCAATAAAAATTGTAAAAATATTCAAGTAGCTGTTTGTTCTGCTTGAAATAAATCTGGATTTTCAAGGAGTCTACCAAATCTGTGTACCCTTTTCTACCCAATGCTGCTACCAAATCAGATTTCTTGCTCTTCTAGCACATCTGAAGGCATTCTTTCAGCATTCCTGTTCTGATTCATCACTTTCTAGAATGAGCTTATATTTGTTTACTGTTTACTGTCTGTTCCCACATCCACTTATCTGTTCTCAAATCCACTTGTCTGTTCCCACATTCACATGAGAGCAAACATCTCTTCTTCTTCTTCTTTACCCTAGAGCCCCACTGCAGTGCCTTGTCATACAGAAGAAGCTCCATATTCATTGCTTCGTGAACTTGGTCTGGGACCCCTGACCACCCTGAACTTCATTCTCTCCTCTGCTCTCCCCCTGCCTTTCCTCTCTGCCTGCCTGCCTTCTCTCATCTCTGCTCTCTGCCCAAAGCTGCTCCCAGGCTTTCCTCCTTCCTCCAGCATTATTACTCTCATTAGCTTGACACTTCCACCTCCGGGATGGAAGCCTGCTGTTGAGAGTAGCCTCCTTCTTGTTGGTTCCTGACATACATTCATTCCAGTCAGAACAGCAGTGAGGGAGGGAAGCATCTTCCCAGTGTCTCTCAGTAGCAAGAGGAAGACAATGCATATCAAATGTAAACACAGCTACAAGGCCCTGCACGGGAGCTTGCACAACTGCTGCTACCTCCTAGGCCCCCCAGGGAGCCCAGTGCATCCTCAGGCTCACCCTCTAGTGGATCCACTGTGACCTGGAGTGGACCACATTTATTAAGTGAATGCACTTACTAAAGCGCCTTGTATATGGAGCTTTGTATCATGATCAGTTGTTTTTAGTATTTTTTATTCCTTTCAACCATTTTGTTATTTATTTATTTATTTATTTATTTATTTATTTATTTATTTATTTATTTTTGGTCTTCCTGTAGCCCCAGCTGGCCTGGGACTCACTGCCTCCTGAGTGCTGGGATTAAAGGCGTGTACCACCATGCCCGGCTTCATTTTGTTATTTTTATTTATTTATTTATTTATTTTTATTTTATGTATATGAGTGTATTGCCTGCATGTATGCAAGTGCACTACATGC